ACATTTTGAACCACCATTTTCATAATTAGTATAGACTACAGTGCTTGCTAAAATAGGCTTAAATTAAACTAACAGTCATGCATAACTGTTACAAACTCACAAAAGTATGAAGTAAATGCTACCTAATATAAACATATAATACCTCTTATGAATCCCTACTTCCGCCTTGTCACCAACTGTCACAATTTTACGAGCCCCTCTCCCCTCCAAGCGTGACAATCATTCGCAGACGACCCCTAGCTAAAATTTCGTTAACTTTCTCTGTTTTAAATTGCCTATACTTTTAACACGCCAGATGGACGCGTGTTAAAAGTATAAGCAGATAAGATTTGATTAAAAGAGTTAATTAACGATTAATTAAATTCAAGTTAGGTATGCTCGAGTTTATACATAAAAATATACTCATAGAACTGCATTATTCAGAACATTTTAAAATAAAATAAAAAGAAAGGAACAGAAAAAAATAAATTATAAGTTATTTAAACAGGACCTATTCCCGCATTCAGTAAATATCAACAAACAGAAACGAACCCGTAAGTTCGGGGAATAAATACACGTTATAAAGATGTTTATTTCCACGAAATACACTTTGGGAACACCTGCCCGGTGACGTCAGCACTTCAACTGACGTCACGACTGTATTGACGTAAGGGCGGGAAGTTATCCCTGCTATGAGATTTCAGACATGCCAGGGATAGCTCACATCTTCGACAACCGATGCGCGGGAAAAATATGAAACAGAATCGTCGCCAATCGTCTTCATTTTATCACTGATATTTGAGGAGCGTGTAAAGAATAAGTGGTGATGATTAATTTTTGTTTTTTTATAGTTCTTTAAGATGCATAAGAGAAAATATAACAATGTTTAAATTTAAAATACTCATGTTGGGTTAAAGCTGATATGCTACTTAGAACTACGTTATTAAATAAAATTTTTGTACTTAGAAATTGTTTTAAAACGTCCATTCCTCTAATAGAATTCTGATACACATTTTAATTAAATATATAAAAAGTTGAATTAAAAAAAAACACTGGTAATTTATTTTTAGAACGGTTTGTACGCGGTCCTCGCCTTCTTGTTAAATATTTGCATTAACAGGGGTCTGTTTAGAAGAAATTTGGGTCCGTTAACGGACCCTTCACAAAATATCTTTTCGTAAAAACGGACCCTTCACAAAATGATTTTTCTTTTAATCGGACCCTTCACAAATTTGTTTATCTTCATTATTATTTTATTAATCGAATAAACCCTTTCCCAGGGCAGAAAACAAGAAAGATGGATGTGAACGAATTAAGTTTTGTCTTCGGCAGACGTTTCTTCCATTATTCGTCCGAAATTAATATTCTGCGTTCAGCAGTATAGGCTAAATACCAAATATTTGTATGTTGCATCTCTAATTTAGAAGCAGCAATTGTTGTTTATTTTTTAAAATTTAATTTTTTTAATTATAATTTTACAGTGTTGAGCATAATCTTGTATGTCTTTACAATTTAAAAACTCCTTGAAAAAGTTTTTTTTTTTTTTTTGCAATAACGGACCCTATTTGCACAAATTCATAAAAGCGGACCCTGGTTGAAAGAATGTGAGTAATTTTTTCACAATTTAACGAAAAACGGACCTTTCACAAAATGTCTGGACAGACCCCTGATTAATAATTCTTAATTATTATTTCTAACTCAGTTGAAATGCTCTAAGTATAACAAAGAATTCTTAACTTTATTCAAAAAACTGCCACATTTAATATTTCTGCAACGATAATTTTTTTCTTCATAATTTATAAATTAAAACAAACTACTCAAAATCTAGAAGACTTCCGGATATTTATAATTAATTTTTATTGTAAAATTATGCAATGTGTCTTTAATTTCAGTTCATGAATTTTATAGAACTGATTAAACACTTATTTGACAAAGGTCATTTGACGATTATTTTTCGCAGACTCCTTTCAAAATGATTGCACACCCTTATTACACTTTTAAATGGACCCTTACATCACACTATTACACTGTCCTCTACAGAGACCATTGCATGAGTAAAATGTATCTATAAGAGTAATAGAACAACAAAATACAAGAATGTATTATACAACGTAATGAGTAGATAAATACAAAACGCAAGCGAAATATCACCAAAGACTACTGTATGTATCAGTAGAATGCATCAATAAGCATCATAGAAAGACGCAAGCCTCTCGACAAACGAGATTTAACAAGAAACTACAGTATCTCATGTATAGGTTTATTTTTTATTCCTAATGCCCAGCTACGTTAACATTTCGTCAATTAAGACATTTACAGGGCAGATTTGTTGGTCACTCTTTCAAGGGCACCATATTAGGTGGGCCAACGTTACTCCCACAGTAAGGACAGATTGTACAGAGAATGAAAGAACATCCATGCCTTGAACGGGATTCGAACCCAGAACTTTCTGATACAACTGCCCTGTGTAGTGCCAGCCGGTCGGTATAAATAAAACGTATCTATAAGTATAATAGAAGAACAGAACGCATTAAACAATATAGAGTATGAATAAATCTATACATAAAGCAAACACGATATAACAGCTGCTACTACATAATGTATGAAAAAAATGCATGGGAACAACGAAAACTATAAAATGTGCAAGTAAAACGTCACAATGTGAGAAGTAAATGCAGCAATGCATTCTAAAAAGCAAGTTCCCCGACAAACACAGGAACTACTGAATGACAAGAGTAAAATACATTAATGTAAAAATTATGGCAAGTCCTAAGCCATAGAACGTAGACAAGTCTTTGGTCATTATACGCAGGAGCGTAAAATGCAGGTCTGAAAGCCTATATAAAAAAACAAAAGAAAAACAGGGACTAAAAGCATTCTGTTAAGGTCTTTTTTTCGAGAAAAATAAAATATCTGTATTTACCAAGATTTTTTTCTATAATTATAGCATACATGCAAAACTGCTTCTTTCTCGAGAAAAAGTAGATATTGTTGAATATTTTATTTAAAAAAAAATGAACAGATTTAGTCCTTCGGAAAACTAGCTATAAGTAAAATGATTTTATCACCACTTATTTCGCGTTTCCCACTCGCTTTCACCACTGGTATATAACGACGTCTGAATATAATAACGTATGAATAAATGCATATAAATAAAACGTAATATAACGTATAATAACGCATGACAAGACTTGACTATAATTAAGAAAATTTCTGATAAAACCACACAACATAATTTATAATAAAACAAGAGGAGAATAATTCTTGAACCGTAAATCGTCTTATAAGTCAATTCTTTACAAAACTCCAATTTATGAAAACCATTTTAGGCAGCTTGACACAAAAATGATCATAAGAAGAATGAGGAGAATATTAAAAACGAAGAAGACACGTGGTTCGATGAAGCGATGCGCAGAAGATGACAAGAGACCTCCTAAACTAAAGACAGGAAAACAATTGTTGAAAATTGCCTGCCTCATAATTGCACCTCTCAACTCAATCTCTGGACCAGACACAGATAAAAAAAAAAGAACTTTGCTAGGGGAAGTCAACCGTGGACCTTCGTAAGCCAGTTTTTAAATACGAATATGTATCACTTCAATAAGTCTTGTTATTCTGACTCGTTCAGAATTGCATCTTCCATTACGTTTTAGATAATAAAAGAAAATAATCATTAATTACTTTCTATTTTGCGAATATGTATCACTTCTATAATTCTTGTCACCTGACTCGTTCAGAATTGCATCTTCCATTACGTTTCAGATAATAAAAGAAAATAATCATTAATTATTTTCTGTTATACGAATATGTATCACTTCTATAATTCTTGTCACCTGACTCGTTCAGAATTTCATTTTCCATTACGTTTTAGATAATAAAAGAAAATAATCATTAATTATTTTTAATTAAAAGAATATGTATCACTTCGATAATTCTTGTCATCTGGCTCTTTCAGAATTGCATCTTCCATTACATTTCAGAAAATAATCGTTGATTATTTTCTACAGCATGCATAGGTTCCCGCATCGGACGCTATCACGATCAATGGGGGTGGAGATTTTTAAGGGGCGACGGCAAATAGGATTATAGAGGATTGCTTACAAACTGTACATGAAATAAGTAGATTACAGTATACATTAAAATCGAGTATAAATTAAAATTCAAAAATTTTTGTTTGGTGTAAGATGAAATTCCAGCATAGGCAGCAGAAATATTAAAATTATTCCAATCTCTGTCATGAGATAAGATATAGAACTCATGCCAATGTCCCTATTACGAGCTGTAATACTTTCTCACACACTTCTGGAGCCATAACTTGAAGTATCATATCATATACATGTACCATTACTCGAAACAAGTATGATAGTATGCAACACCATAACACCGCTTATGATTAAAATTTCTACAGCCATATTTTATAGAAAGAAAAAAACTAAATCTAATTACTCCGTAACTATAAGTTTTTATTTCTATAGAAATACAAAATTATTCTAAATAAATACTTAACGTATAACTTCAACTAAACTCTGCTTAAACTATCACTGGAGATTACCTAACAAAATGAGTTTAAATTAATATTTCACGTGTTATGTAGTTTACTATTCTTCTAATATTTTCCCTACAAATCAAAATATTAAGATTCAAAATGGGACTAACTATTAGTTATTGTTTTGTCTTTGTAGGGGAGTTGTGAAAAATACTTGGCCGGTGATTCAAAAAAGGTTAGGAAAAAGTTCAAAAGCTTCATGAGAATTAAGTTTCTTTACATTTTGTTCTCTCTAATTTTTATTATTTAGATGTTACGATTTATCGAATCGAATCTTAAATCATAAACACAAATGATGAGAAACGCATCTTACACAGGCGCAATTTTCAATCAACCAATCAATAAAAATTATAAAGAGGGGGGGGGGAAGATTAACGAGTATTTCCCTTTCACTACATGACATTCAATAGAATTTTTTAAAAAAAAGGAATATATCTGAAAATAAATTAATGCGAGGAAAATATATCGTTCTTACCTGTGCCCCGGAGACAGTATCGCGATACGACGAGTTTTTGTTTTTTTCTTTTTTTGACATAAAAGAAACAATGCAAACATTTCAAAGCAGCCCAGCCAAAAAACAAACGTGTTTCTTAGAAAGCAAAAGGCAATAACGCACGCATCAAGGGTTCTATAGGTTGTCTCTACTTTACGAACGTTCCCGTCGGCCTTCAGGGCATTTTTATGATTCAGTCGCAATCATTTTTTCCAACTAATCGCATGAAATGATACGCCTTTCTAACTTTTCTACAAATCATGCTCAATGAAATCTCAAAAATCGTGAAGGGAGAAAATGATTCAGACCTTCTCGGCATCCCAAATTTTCCAATTTCTATAATAATCGACAATAAATTGTGTAGAAAAATATCGTTTGCATTAATTTCATTTGCAAACGAGTTTCAAAGAAAATTAATGCAAACGATAATTTCATTTGAAACGCGTATTAATATTTATTTACCTTAATATTTATTTAATAGTCAAAAAATGATAGCAACATAAACAACAATGATATAGGTTTTACAGTAGGGTTAAATATTATTCTTTTTCTGGATGCTTGAAATACTCTTGAATAGTTTGAGAAACTCCATCATTTTGAAAATACATTGAGATCGATATTACTCGGAATTTAACGAATCATAATTAATTAAAACTACAGAAAAAAAAATTCTTTTAAATTTTCATTAACCTTCTAAAATATATAATTAAATTAGGATTAAGTGCAAAGATTCTGTAGAAAAGAAGTTCTATTATTGAGAATAAATTAAGAAAAAAAAAATCATTTGCATCAAGAACGATTAAGATCGTTTGCATAAATTTCTTCGCAAACGTGTTTCTATCATTCATATTCGATTCGCCCTAAATATTTATAAGTAGCCTAATCATTCAAATTCCATAATCAGAAAATCATATGTAAGATAAATAACATCAACATGATATAGATTTTTAGAAAAATATAGATTCTCTTACCTTAGATACCTTAAATACGCTCGAATAGTTTGAAGTTTGAGATACTTAATATAATTCTGTGATTACATTAAAGTCAAGAAATCAAAAAAATCTAAGGTGATTAAAAAAAAAATTTCTTCCAAATTTCGTTAATTTTCTAAAATAAAAATAAGTAGAATAAAATTTAATGAAATCAGAATAACTCCAAAGATCTAGCAGAGACAGCAGTTTCATCAGTCTGATTATTGAAAAATAATGACAATATTTGATGTTATTTTGATAACGATGAATTCTGGAACATTTTGATTTAATCAAAACTGGTAATTCTGACTAATATGGATAATGCAAATTCAGCTACCTGTTTAATGAGGTAAGCGGAAACACATTTAAGTCAAGCACACAGAAATTAAATTTACAGTAGTTCTTCCTTCGAGAGTTTTTACTTACGAGTAGAAAATGAAAGCATGTATTGATCAATTTCATAAATGGCAACACCGTCCATTCAGATAATGTTTACAACTTCTTTTTTTTTTTTAAAGCGCAATTAAATTATGTTTACTTACGAGTAGAAAATTAATGTATGTATTGATCAATTTCATAAATGGTAACACTGTCCATTCAGATGTTCATAACTTTTTTTTTAAAACGCAATTAAATTATGTTTCTTTTATACGTTTACAGGTTTCGTTTCAGGAAAAATTTGCGTCCGTTAACGGACACTTCGTAAAATATACCTTAAAAAACGGATTCTTTACAAAATATTTTATCTTAAAAGTGGAGTCTTCCGTTTTATTATAAAACGGGCTTTTCCCAGAGTATTTCCTTAGAAAAACACAAAATATTTTATCTCAAAAAAAGGTTTCTTCACAAAATACATCATTTTGAAAAAGGATTTTTATGTACTCAGCACAAAAATATCGATTCACAAAATTAAGAGTTGCTTTAGTATCATTTAATCCAAACAGGGTCTTCCATAAAAAAGTCTGTATTCATTATTTTCACTCTTCATTATATTCACTTTAACACAAAGAAATAAAACTTGCAAAAAAAAAAAAAATATGGAAAATTCAAAATTTAAACAGTTTAAAAGTTAAAAGCTAATTAAGGAAAAAAAATACAATCAAAACAATTGAAGAATAACGCGAAAAATATAATTCCGTTTATAATATATTTTTACGTAAATTGTTTCCAAAAATATCATTTCATTTAAAAGACTACATTTCAAACCACACTCAAACGAGCCAACATGTAACTAAAGTTAATTATATACTCACCGGATATCCAGCAGTTTCATGAAGTACCCCTCATCCCTTTGATGGCATTTATTAGACGATAATTATAGGATTTTTACTTTTTTTTTCAAAACCTGTTTCTACTTCACCCCCTGCGGCAAAAGTCAAGAAAATCATCTACCATCGGTTGCCTAACTGTTCAAGATCATCCCCCGGAAACGGTGAACAGGAGGCAAAAAAACAATTGGTCTTCATTGGAAGAAAGAAAAAAACTGCTAAACATAGCTGATACCATACCAAACGTTAATACTAATTATATAATGGCAGAATCTCATGAATATTTGGAATTACATTCTTAATAGTAAGCGTTTTTTTAAAAGTTCTTAAAGGTGCTTATTTTCGATTTTTGTTTTTTAAAAGCCCTTAAAGGTGCTTTTTTCATTGGGTGTTTTTAAAAAGTGCTTAATTTTCCCCTTTTCAAAATGAGACTTCTACTTTGCCATGTCGATTTCTGCTAGGAATTATGCAAAAAGACACAGCTCACATTGTTCTATTCAACGTTTTCACAATTAATTCAACCCAAATCTATTTCGGCGTATTATCAGTCCGTAGCGTATAAAAACGCCATTCGTTTTACATTATTCAAAATTTCATGATTTTTGACAAAATCAATGCGAAAACCGTCGAAAATGTTAAATGTCAAAAACAAGATAAAATCGTTGATTGTCAAAAACTTTCCAACCCTGCCTAATTATGATATCTTCTTAAAGTGCTTAAAAATATTTTTTTAGTGCTTAAAAGGTGCTTATTTTTTGTTGAATAATTTGGCTACACATCCTGTAAAAGATTCTAAATTAACAAATCACAAACTAAACATATAGACGGCTGCATATCACATATTGAATTTAAAATTAAAAATAGCAAACTAATTTTTATAACCAAATACTGTTATAAGTATGAATACTAAAACCCAAATCTAAATTATACATAAAGTTTAAAATTCCGCTTAACAGTAAAATAAATAAATTGAAAAGAGTTTTTACAAAAAAATAAAGAGTATTAGTGGAAAAACTGTTAATTCAGTCTGAATCGTTTAAATTTCAGCTTTCTGATAACAATTATTGCATTGGTCATTTTTAGTTTCTACCATTTTGTCCGTTTTTTCCACTTTCTTCCAACGTCTTGAAAGTAATGCGAACCTAGATATTGGAAGAACCAATTTCTTCGAAGAAATAAGCTTTTTTTTCCCCGCAAACCCATGCTTCGTAAATATTTACAAATTAAATCAATGTGCTTTTCATTTTCACAAAACTACGGCTTTACTTCGAATCCACTTTTGCACCATTTTCATGATAAACATAAGGGGCACTAATTAAAGATGGTCAAAATTTTACTTTACAGTCATAAGCAACTGTTACAAACTCACAACAGCCATAAAAATATTAAATTTTAAATTACTTAAGTAGGCGAAAATCACTAGATTTTTTATCATTATTATAACTGACGATTCTAACTGTTTATAACTTATTATACGATTATTGCTTATTATATTATAAAATTATATACTGTACAGCCAGTTGTGATTTGTAACTTTTGTGCAATTTTTTTATAGTAAAAATACATTCATTTTTTTTTATTAGTGGTACACAGCGTTACAAAAAATTTAGAAAGGGTACACAAAAGTCATAAAATTGGGAAACGCTGAATGAAGGGGTTAAAACATAGGAGCGCTCTCTTGACCAAACTATTGGGACTATATTTCCCAGATTGTGACTACCCCCTATATTTTCGTGGGTCGGCTATGTTTATTTAGAGGAAGTACGTTTTTGCGTCTGATATCGTAACTTAGAATATCGTCTGCACATATTTGCAGTCACCCCTTTAAACCATGAAGATCGAGTACTAGAACGTGAAAACTCATTCATTAGATCAAAAGTTATTTAAGGTTGTCAGTTTCCTTATTTAGGTTACTCCATATAATGTCCGAATCTTTAAAAAACAGTTGAAGCACTTAAATCTATCACAGTATCGAGTAATTAACATTTAAGTCAAAAACTATGTATAGCAATAAAATAACTAATCGTGGTGTTGGACAAAATTTATTACGCGCAAAAAAAAAAAAAAAACTGTAGAAGTGATGATTTAAACAAAAAAGAAGAAGAAAAAATGTGGGGCAAAAATTTTATCTTGTTAACAAAAAACTCAGTAAACGCGAGTAAAAAAAGAATTGTCGCGAGTCAATACTAACTTATGAAAACTCCGAACAAAGAGAAGAATTCCAAGCATTCCCACAAAACCCAATCGTTCGTTAAAGATGGAGAAAAATTAGAAAAATGATGGGGATATTCGGAGCATCAACAGATAGAATAATTTATTTGAGCGGGTATTGGATTTTTTTTTTTTTTTTTTTCCTCTCTTCAAAACAGTCAATTAAAATTTCTCTTGCATTGATTTTTTTTTCGTTCTCGGTGACTACTTTCAATTTTTAATAAAGAATTCAATCTGAATAAACACAACATTACGAACGATCTTTTGGTCACGGCGATAAAAAAAATAATCTAAAATCTAATCGAATTAAGCGGATTTAAGTGTTCACTAAAATGACAAAGAAAAGTCAATAGATCAGAAAATTTATTACTGTGTAGCAAATGCATTAGGATTTTTGAGAGAAAAAAAAGCAGAAATAACCAGGGTTTGAAAAAACCCGGGGATT